AGATGTTTAGAGTCTCGGGTTAGGTTTACCAGGGCAGAAAGTCAGGGTTTACGGGGCTTGGGGCTTAGGTTTTCGGGTTTTGTAGGAGAGAAACCACCTGTTCCGGCAAGTGCATGCACAAGTGCACGAACACCAGCGTGTATGCAGTGGTATACCCAGTACACATATTCCAACTTGTACGTTTGTGCACCTGTCTATCCGAGCGCCTATGTATGTGTACATGAGTATGTTTATGTGTATACATGACTACATACATACATGTAGACATCTGTGTAATACAAGCATGTATACATATGTATGTATGTATGTATGTATGCATGTATGTGTATCTGTCGAACATCTCCATCCAATATCTCCAGTCGGTTTGCGTGTCTCTGATACTCTTACCTTGAGTTAGCAGGGAATGGGAGGAATGGGGTACAGTTATAACTACTACTATTACTACTACTACTACTACTACTACTACTACTACTACTACTACTACTACTACTACTACTACTACTACTACTACTACTACTACTACTACTACTCTACTCTTACTACCACTACTACTACTACTACTACTACTACTACTACTACTACTACTACTACTACTCTTGCGGTTACTACTACTACTACAACACTACTACTACTACTACTACTACTACTACTACTACTACTACTACTACTACTACTACTGCCACTACTACTACCATTCCCGACTGATTGACCAAAAGCAAGTACTTGCGGGAGACTTGGCTTGGCTTTCTCCAGCAGGGCTGCCGAGCTATGCCTGAGGGTCGCTCGAAGTTCCAAGTCATGTAGCAGTGTAACAGCAGCTTACGAAGCGTTAACCAGTAATCTTATATGCATCTGAAAACAAATAGAAGAGCGAGAGAGAGAGAGAGAGAGAGAGAGAGAGAGAGAGAGAGATATATATATATATATAGAGAGAGCATACCTACATATATAAACCCTAAACCCTAAACGCCGTGGTACCGGTACACGAGCTGCCCAACTTCTCCGTACTCCGGTTGAGTCACGATCTTGATGCGGCTCCCAGCGAATCTTCAAGCGCATCCGTCTGCACTGCAAAGGGAGCTCGGCCGGTCTGAGATTTGGGAGTTTCCGAAAATGGGGGACACTAATATAGTAGCTTAAATAGTAGGATCCTTATTATCAGGACCCCCAAAATAGGTACTCCTGATTTCGGAAACTCCCATTTCCAACTGGTTGGGATTGTCACCGCGAGGCGCAGGTCGCCATCGAGGGCGAGGGCATGCCTCCGAACTTGGGCCTGCTGGACCGAGGAAGCAGGGAGTTTCCGAAAATTGGGGACCCTAATACAGTACCCTAATAGTAGGATCCTTCTTATAAGGACCCCAAAATAAGGTACCCCTAATTTTCGGAAACTCCCAACAGACAAACCCCTCGGAGTCGTCAGATGCAGTCCTGGTCCAAGCCGAGGATGGCCGGCTCGGACTTTTGGCGGCGAAGTCTAGGCGCCGCCAAATTCCTCGAACTGAGTCGCACAGGTGTCTTTGTTGGACATGGCGTCGATGACTGAGGCGATTAGGGCTTAGGGTTTCTAGGGTTTAGGTGAGGTTAGGTCACTTTCGGGGAAAGTTGAGGCTTAAACCCTTAAGCCCTAAACCCTAAGCCCTAACCCCTGAGCCCTAAGCCCTAAACCCTAAGCCCTAAACCCCAAACCCTATAAACCCCAAACCCTAAACCCTGCTAAACCCAAAACCCAAAACCCTACGCCCTAGACCTAAAACCCCAGGCCTTAGACCCTGAGCCGTAAGCCCCAACCGCTAAGCCCTAAACCCTAAGCCCTAACCCCTAAACCCTAAGCCCTACACCCCGAACCCTATAAACCCCACACCCTAAGCGGTAAACCATAAGCCCTAACCCCTAAGCCCTAAACTCCTACACCCTAAGCCCGAAGCCCTAAACCCTAAGCCCTACAGCCCGAAGCTCTTAACCCTAAACCCCCTAAACCCTAAGCCCTAAGCCCTATAAACCCCAAACCCTGAGCCCGAAGAAGCCCTGGACCAGGGCTCCGGCAGTGGACTGCTTCACGTTGAAGATGATGAGTAGGCCAACGGACCTTTGGGTTTAGGGGTTTAGGGGTTTAGGGTTTAGGGTTAGGGTTTAGGAATTTAGGGACTTAGGGTTTCTTTGAGGAGCCTCTGGCTATGGATTTGGGGGCCTTGAATCATAAGACCCCTTAAGGGGGGGAGGGGGTAGGGGGTAGGGGGCCCTAACTAATCCATAATAAGGACTTAAGGACCTTATAAGGACTACTATTTGCTTAAGAACCCCCCAAAAAATGAAAAATGATAATCCCTATATTATCCCTATAAGGAATATATTTTTATTTTTTTGGGTTTCTTAAGCAAATAGTAGAGGATTAGTTAGGGAAGTATAGTCCCCTACCCCCCGTCCCTATGATTAAAGGTTCGGATTTCTGTAGAGCTACTTTCCAGTCCCCCCAAACCTTGCACACCCTTTAAGCATTTCCTCTCTAGAACGAAAACTTTCCAAAACCTGCTATAAATCCTACAAGTCCTCAACCGTGCGCTGCCTTGGCAGTTTGAGAGTTTGTTGTTTGTTGGAGAAATGCTCTGTTCCAGGGCGAAAGCTGTAAACGATTGGACCCTAAACCCTAAACCCTAAACTTAAACCCTAAACCCTAAACCCTAACCCCTAACCCCTAAACCCTAACCCCTAAACCCTAAACCCTAAACCCTAAACCCTAAACCTCAGATTCTATAGGAACCCCTGCCTTGAGACTTCGACGCGGACAAGATGGAGGAACATTCATGGAGGAGCTTTCCCTAAGGGTCCCAGGGTACCCATGTAGGGATACATGGGCCCCAAACTACCTATATAGGGACTACATTAAGGCCGAAGTATATACTATATGAGTACATGGACCCTTAGGGTTTGTTTTATGACCACACCTTCCTGATCCTCACAGCACCTGAGTCTGCTACCTGTCATAAATAAGTACGCAGCACGAAGTTAAAGAGGACGAAAACGGTCAATTCCAAGGTGCAGCATAACCCAACCTTCAGTTCCTAAACCCAATAGACCCGGAAACAAAAAAACAATAAACACCACACATCGTAACTTAAACCCTAGAGCCCAAATTAGACGAACTTTTGAATGCAGTTGACTGCTTGGTGAAGCTCAGTTAGGCCTGCTGAAGGCCGGCACTGCAAGGCACCACTGGTGTAGGGTGCAGGGAATAGGCTCTTGGACTCAAGATTTAGGGTTTGATGATGATTGATGTTTGTGGTCTGGAGTTGGGTGTAAGGCTTGTCGTGCAGTGTACGCCAAACCGATAGCATGAGACCTTTTCCCGTAAGGAACCGGGGCGCATGAACCAATTGCCTACACTCTTAATCGAAGCTTTCAGTTCTCAAGCTCGAGACCCCGCAAACCTCCAAACCCAAAGCCTCAACTGTAAAGCCATGTGCTGCAGACTCGTTTGTTGTGGTTCACAGAAAACGGGAAGCTCACCGTCCCCAACAGTGCAGCAGCCGACGGCAGACGAAGTTCCCCACAGACAAGCAGGTGGGACCTTGCAACGATAGCACGCATGCGTGAGCACATGGAGCCCGAGCGGAGCTCTATGAACCGCCGTCGCGCCTGGGCAACCCACTGAACCCCATGTCCAGCGGTAGAGTTATCGTCCATGTAGGTGTTAAGCATCCTGATACGAAGGACACGATGAAGGCAACAGTTTAGAGGGGCAGCAAGTAGCCTTCGATACGTTGCAACGTATAGCGCCTCTAGAGGAGGTGGACTGTTTACCCCACTGGGGTACTCGAAGGTACCGAAGGACTTGGAGCAACCATCCGGTTCACACACTAGCCGACGTTGCGGCTTCCGAGGCCCATTCCTAAAGGGTCCATGTACCCATATAGAGATCCATGAGCCCCAAAGTACCTATATAGGGACTACATTAAGGCTCATGTACCTCTACATGGGTACATGGACCCTTAGGGCACGTTGGCTTGCTCGTGAGGCCGCCTGGTGGGACCAATACGGTGTTTGTCTGATGGCTGCGACAGGAAACTTAAACCCCCTTAACCTTTGTACTCAAATCCGAACTTATGCCTGAACCCTAGATCAATTCTCAAAGCCCTTAACCCAAGACACTTCAGCCTCCTTCAACCCTGCAACATAAGCCAGGAGATACTTAAGCCTTCAACTCTGGCCTAGTTGCTGAGTTCATAAGCCCCAAATAGTGTACACTTTCAGTTATATAGTGGGTAATATTCTCCCCAAAAACTGTAAAGTGTATCCACTCAGCTACTAAGCTAAGCCCCAACTCTACTTAGAGGTTCATGGGTAGTTATAAGTGGGGTGATAAGACCCCTAAAAATGGGTTATAAGTTATAGTTACCCTACCTACAACCCTACTTATAACTACCCAGGAACCTCCAAGTAGACCCTAAACCCTATACCCTTATAGAATCCCTACAGATCCCTTTAAAGGGACCCTGTCCCTACTTGTAAACCTACCTCCAAGTAAGCCCTGAAGCCGACTCCAAAGCTCAAGCCGTAAAGCTTCAACCTGAAGGCGGAACCTGTAAACCCTGAACCCCCCCCCCGGCCCTCCCTTAAACCCCAGCAAAATCTACCTTTTTAAGGACAAAAACAAGGAAAGAGGCAGGTGTTTTAACCCCAAAGAATCTACCTTTTTAAGGACAAAAACAAGGAAAGAGGTAGGTTTCTTAGGCCCTCCCTTACAGTAACCCGAACAAAATCTACCTCTTGAAAGACTTGAAAACAAAGGAAACAGGTGGGCTTCTTGGGCTCCAGGTAAGCTCCAAATCTCTGCACCCAAAACCCTTAAACCCTGAAACCCTAAACCCCCAACCCCCAAACTCAACCCTAAGAACCCCAAAAACCCCAAACCCTTTTTTGAGACACCCGGCTGGACGAAGTCCTCCTTGGCGCTGCAAGGGCTGCCGCCGTTGTCGTAGTCGAAACCCGGGCAATAGCATCTCAGCGCTTTTTTTGGTGCTAATGTAGGGGCCGTCCCTTGAAAGGGTCCATTAAGGGATACTATAAGCATCTCAGCGCTGTCGGGGGTTAATGTAGCGGCCTTAAGGATGAGAATAGGGTTCCTTTTAAGGGTGCTTGAAAAAGGGCTACGATAAAAAAAGGGTTCTATAGTGGAGGGGCCTTCACAAGTAGAACTATGGTTTTCGGCTCCTTTATAGTCTAACTCTCTAATAAGGAACCCGATACGGAATAACGTTGGAAATTACGCGGTATTAGATAGGGCTTAGTATTTTCATCTGAGCACTTCTCGGTGTAGAGCTTGCAGGGTAAAGGGGCTCTACCCCAAACCCCAGCATTCCTTCTGAGAGCTCTTGGCGTCTATAAGAATTATAGCTCTTCCGGCTTCGATGAAACTTTCAACAAGATTTTAGGGCTTAGGGTTGAGGGTCCGTGAAGGCAAAAGGGCGGGGCTTGAAATGTTCCAAGAAAGTAAAACAAACAGACAACAGGTACGAAAATGAAACAATAGATTTAGGGTTTGGGTCAAAGCCATAAGATACAGTCGCAACTAAGATAAGTAAGTAAGTGTGCTGCAGGCTCCATTCTCGGAAACGCAGACCACCCGCTGTAATCTGGGTTCTTGACCGTTCTTGCTTCGGAATTGAACTTCAGTTACCATAATAGGGATCTATAGTAAACTAATATGACTTCTTCATTATGGGAAGAACAGTGAAATTCGATTGTTCCGGAAGTTTCACGACTTTGCTCTGCGGTCCCAGCCCGGAGGGAGCCACTGACTCATGTCCGCGCCTGCCCACCGAGCCAGTCTAATAATATATGGACCTTAATAATATCGACCTTAAGAATTAACTAGGATATGGTTTCGGGGCCCATTATACTATAGTTATAACAAGGAACTCCCCAAATAGTACGGGTAATTATTAAGGCCTCTACCGTACATTGTAAATCCCACCATCCTGCATTCGTTCCTCATTCGACCCCCTTCCTACCTGGGAAGATTCTCAAGAACTGCCGATGTGTCACCCTAACGAACACATAAGCATACGGGGTGGATGGCTTCCAGATCGGGACTATGGGTTGCGGGCTGAAGGAATAGGGCTTCGGATTGGAGGTGTGGGGTTCAGAGCTCAGGGTTTTGCATTATGTAGCTAAAACGAAAAGATACATACACACGAAGAGACACACTAGGACGAAGCAGTCCAAGTTCAGAACAACGCCTCTCTCGTTTTTTTCAAGCGCGACTGGCTCATTGGCCAAGAAGCATTTTCGGCTTCAGCACCGACTGCAGAGATTCTTGTGGGTGTATGTGCGTGCTGCGATCAAGGATCCAGGTTGCTATTGCTGGCTATCGCACTGATAGAAGAGAGGGTCCATACCCTACAGCCCTAAAGGCTAAACTGTTAAAGCCCTAAACGCCTGAACATCAAACCCCAAGCCGTTGTTGGATGCTTTCGGCTTTGAGGGCTTGGGCTATACCGCCATATGGCATCCTAGCCTTTCACAGAAATACAGACTAGGATATCATAAGCGTTGGGCTAGTGAGGTTACCAAGGGCGACTGTAACATACATGTCCAGTATCATGGAGAACTGATGACACATGGAATATAGTAACCCACAAAGGTTGAAGGTTACCTACTCTACTACGCCATACCCCCTTAGAACCATAATAATAATGAGATGTTTAATATTCTCTTGGGATTGATATGAACAACATAAAAAAATAATTCCTAAGGAGACTATAGTACGTACTAAGGTGTTAGGGCTATAAGGCATCATAGCCTTTCACAGAGGTCCGGTAGAATCTGCTCCGTGAGTTCACCTATACTGAACTTAGAACCAACACTTATAATCTTAGCTGTTTCTTAGGGATTATAATAACCAAAAATGAAAAATTTGTATTTTGACCAAAAATTAAAAAATATTTCTAAGTACCCCTAAGTCACGGTGAGGAGCTTCTCCCGGGCCTCCGCTCCTCCGAGCACCGCGGGGACGTCCAACTCGGCGGAGGCCTTGCGCCAGGCAAACGAGAAGCGGAGAACGAAGACGATCCTGAGTGAAGTTTTTTTTTGAGTGAAGGGTTTAGGGATTAGAGTTTTACGGTTTTGGGAAAGGAATGTAGACTTTCTTTTAAAGTGTGATGCGCCTCTCTCTCTGCAAGAGTTTTAGGGTTTTTGGTAGGAGCATAGAACTAACGAGGACGATCTGGGATGTAGAACTGAGGCTTAGGCAAAAAAGCTGCAGGGCCCCGTGGGGGTCTATAAGGCGTTGGCATACGCTGTTGACACTTGCAGCCTATGGGTCCCCAATAGCAAGCTGCTTATTGGTTTGAATAGGACCCCTCTGCAGGTGATAGGGCACCTGCATGAATATACAATGTATCCCATAGAGTGCCACCTCGGATTTAAACAGAGCTAAATGACTGCGAAGAAGATACCCGAAACCCCAAACTAACCAGCTTGAAAACCCTAACACCTTACGTATTCCTAGAGGGTCACCCCCTTTCTTCCTTTTCTGGGGTACCTAGTCTTATGGTTGAAACATATACTAGCACGTACCCATGAAAGGGGGCAGGGCATAACCCCTTCAGGAAATCCAAACCCGAAGTGCCACTGAGGATCTGAATGAGGAGCCAAATGACCATAAAGCCATAAAGCGCCATTTTGTCTACGTATTCCAGATCTTCCGACTCAGAACTCCTCACGGGCGATACAGTAAGGGGGCTAGGATTCTTTCTTTATCTTCCTTTCAAGGACCTATGCAGATTCTACTTCTTCAAAGGGTTCTGCTAAGGATATGGCGTGCTGGAGGGAGGGTTTGGGTGTTAGAGGTTCAGGGGCTTGGGGTTTAGGGCGTTCAGGGTTTAGGGGTCTGGGGTGTATCAGGTTCGAGGGTTTGGGACTGAGGGATCCACGATGTTAGGGTGAGGCTTAGGGTTTAGGGTTTAGGGGTTTAGGGGTTTAGGGTTTAGGGGTTTAGGGTTTAGGGGTTAGGGTTTTAGGACGCTGGAGTCCTCACGACTCCAACCCAGAAAACCATGGAAATGACCACGGACATGCACCAGAGCGCATGCGTGTCGATCAGGGTCAGGTACCCGACCGTCGGAGTCAAGGATCCCGAGTAGTGGAAATATGAAGCACATACCTATACTGAACTTAGAACCTTAGCAAAAATTACAATTCTAGCTGTTTCTTAGGGATTATAATAACCAAAAATTAAAGAACTATTTCTAAGTACCGCTAAGATACCAGCAACAAGGTCATAGACACACTGGCCCTTCCAGCAACGTCTTCCACTGGGATGAAGAATTGCAGCCCAGCCAAGAGCGCCAGAAGCATGTTTGGGAGCACTATGTTGATGGTGTAGAAGAAGGGTCTCCTCCTCACCTTGCTGTCGACTTCAACTTGACAACAGCCCCCCCAACAACATATTTAAATAGGGTGGTTGTCAATACTAGGGTCCTTTTTGGATCCTTATTCTAATACGGCACCTGCTATTTAAGATACTCTAAAAGGGACCCTAGTTTTGACAACAACCTACTTGACAACAGCCCCCCGACAACATCTTCGGGCACTGTGTGAAACAACTTGGCAAGTAAATGGTTCATCATCCCAAATCGGTGCCTAGTCACGTAGCACGAGAAAGTCAGATCCGGATAAGACCTTGTTTGCAAGACGCGGCGAACATCCGTCACAAGCTTTGTTCTTGTCCCCAGATCATACTCACTGTCCCAAACGAAGTGCTTGGCATTCACATCGCAAGCGTCGGCAAGGTCAATTGACAGATCCATTGGAAATGGCCCTTCGTTTGACATGGCGAACTCGATACTTACGGACAGCGCTTGGGTGTCGAATGGGAAGTCGTTGCACTCAAACTTCTCAAGGAAAGTACCCTGAACTTCCAGGGCCCAGCGGATGCTGTCCTTGTCTGGCGTAAGCTTGTCCGTAAGCACCGAAGGGGGCTCTATCGCATTCATCCATGAGATGCTTTCCTTCGCGTTGCTTTCAGCAAGACCCACAGCTATGTATAGGGCTGTACATCAACCAGCAGGACGAAAACTGGGAGTTTCCGAAAATAGGGGACCATAAAATAGTGCCCCAAACAGTAGGATCCTTATTATAAGGGCCCCAAAATACGGTACCCCTAATTTTCGGAAACCCCTAACTGAGTGTGTGTGCAAACCTTAAACCCGAAACCCATGCGGCCTGGCGTCGGTGTAAAATCGAAGTCCTTTGCGAGTTCCATCCGGATTCAGAGGAGCATCGTCGCTTCCACCTGGGTCGGTAATATGACTGTAAGGGTTCCTTTAAAGGGTACTATAAGGGTTCCTCAAAGGGTACTATAGGTTCGATTAGATCCCTGTTAGGATCCTTTCTGTAAGGCTGCAGTAGTGTTTTTGAGACCCAAAAAGGACCCTAATTTAGAGAACTACCGACCTGCAATGCCAGGCAGAATGTTGGCATCAGGGAAGAGGAACTCGAAGTAGATGCGAGCTGAGAAGGTCCTTCGACTGTCAATACGGTTGATGATATAAATCCTGCATGACCCATAATACGGAATATACCATAATTCCCATAGTTTAGGGTCCTTAAGGTAATGCAGGATTTATATCATCAACAGTATTGCACAGGGTTTGAGGCTTAGGGCTTCGTCCTCCAGCGTTTGAGGCTTCAGGGCTTTACTACATCGTACTTTGAGCGGTACTGTACTATATCACATAAGTCTACTCCCCCTATAAGACTTCGGCAGAGAATGGTTCACAAGATTTTTGACTGAAAGCCAGAGGGTCCAAGTAATCCTAAGGACCACTTAGATCCTTAGGTCAAGCGTCTGGTGCTTAGTAAAGTAGGGAATGGGGGAATGGATCCTATAGTAGTCCCTATATAACCCTCGCATTCCCTACGAAGCACCAGACAGTCAAAGGGAAAGGCCAGGCATCTGCTCCACTAGGTGGATTCCACAGATCTGCCGGAACTCTGC